CCATCGGCTTTGGCTCGCCGCGAACAGGAGAGTGATGGCGGGCTCGGCGGCCAGATACTTGCTCAATCTTGGGGCGCTAACCGTTCTGGCAGGCTCGGCAGGCTACATCTCCGGGCTTCAGAACCGCCAACAGAGCGAGCCCTCTTCAAGCGCCGAGGAGAGAGCAGCGAGTAAGCAAGCCGCGATCGAGCGGTATGAGGCCATTCGTGCAGCACAGAGGGCGTCAAAGGTGCCGACAGGTGCGGCGCTGGAGCAGGACCTGGAACGGAGGAGGGAGAGACTTCGGTCCTCACAAGACAGCTAGCGGCGGAGAGCCGGGCGTGTCTCTGACTTCTACACGCCTCTGCTGCCCGGCGTGCCTGGTCCATGGCAATCTGCGAATTGAGGCTGCCAGTGCTGGCATTGGTGGACGCCACCGCGCTGGCCTGCGCACAGCCTTTTGCGCAATCTATGCGTTCCGGCTATGCTCGTCGCAACGGTGTCGGTGAGCCGGTGATGGCAGCCGCTGCCATCTCGCACCGCCACCTCGCCACCTCCTCGTCGGGGCCCTCGCCATCATGGGCGTCCATAGTAGAGGAGCTCGCCGTAGAGGTAAGAGGAGGAGGTCGCCGCGAACTGCGCTGCGCGCTTCCGCTTCCCACGCCTGCACTGAGCTGGCAGCTGCTGAGCCGTACATCTCTACATGACTCATGAGCCTTGAGAGAAGATCGTGGGGAGTGTATGAAATGTACACGACAACACACCGGAGAGAGTACACACCGGAGTGTCGCCATAAAATATACAGCGAGAGGCCCATCGCTCTACTCACATGGCCCTACCCCGGGCGGCGACGGCGGCGTGCGGCGGCGCGCCCGTCTCAGCCCCCCCTCGCTCGCGCCCTCTCGCCGCTCGCGGGGTCCTCAAAATTGACTCGAGCGACGAGACATCCCCGGGGAATGGGGAGCGGCACCCTGCTCCACCCCCCGCGGGGGAGTTGGGCGGGGGAGGGGCTTTACGCGTTGGAGAGCTCGACCTCGCTCGAGCGGCCTGCGCCGTTGTCGGTGACTCCCGCAAGCTGGACGAGCTTCGCGACAATCTCCTTGAGCTGGGCCACCTCTGCCTCGAGTGCCGCGACGCGGTCGGCCTTGGGCGTCTGTGGGTGGGGGAGGACGGTTGGGGGAAGGCAGACGCGACGTGTGGTCATCGTGTGAGCAGGGCGTGCGCTCACCGATGGTGCGGCTCCGGCGCTGATCTTAGCCAGCTCGGTCGCGACGTCGAACGTGGTGCCGTCCGCCGCCAACACCACGACAGCGCCCGACTTCATGACGCGCAGCGAGTCGCGGCGAGCCTTTGCCGAGCTTCCGGTGCCGACGCGCAGCACCGCATCCGCGCTTGCGATCCCGTGCGTTGAGGCGGCGGCGGGCGCCTCGTTGTACATCCCGATCGCCACCTCGCCATACGAGGCCGCGTAGGTGCCGACGCCCATCGACGTCGAGACGTCGCCGCCCGCGACGGTCGCCATCCCCATCGCCGTGGAGATGTGGCCGTTGGCCTCGGTGCCGTGCCCGCTCGAGAAGGAATTGCTCTGAAGTCCGAACGGCATTCTCGAACACACGCGCAAGAACCTGCCGGCGGGGATCGAGGGGCGGCGTGTCCACGCAGAGAGGCGCCAGGGAGTTTCTTGGGGCGCGGTGAAGCGAGCACGATCTACAATGCGGCGGCGGGGGGACCTGATCGCGCAAGGGGGCAGACTGAAGCGCCGTCATTTGGGGTGTGAACTTAAAAAGGAAGAGGATTGGGAAGTTCGTTTCGTCCCGTCCGCGGGAGTCAGAGTGCAAAAGAAATTCACCGACGCGTTGATGTTCATCGCGCTCTGTAGTCTGCTCGCGTCGCTCAGCCCTCCCACGGCCGCTATCAGCGCAAGCACGCCGCGAGGGCTCCGAAAGATCGCGCTGCACCAAGCCGCCCGAGCCGCAGAGACGATCGTTTCGACGAATCAGGTGCTGGCGAAGGTGTACGCAGGGACGACCGCTCCAAAAGACTGCACCGAATGTGCCGCCGCCAACTTGGCCGATTCACGCTTCTGTCCGACGCTAGTGCGCGCCGTGACGGCACGGTGCGTGCTGTACGCCGCAAGAAGCTACATCGATTTGACGGGGACGCGGAGGCGCGGAGCATGGCGCTTGCTTGCAGTCATGGTGGCCGTTGCGTGCGTCGTCCCTACCATGCTTCTGGCGCCGCTGCCCCGTTCTCTCGCTGGGCTCCAGGCGTGGGAGGCGGCCGCGTGGCAGCTAGTGCGGCAAAGGGTGAACTCGTTCCGTGCATGACTGCCATGAGGTAGAAGAGCGGTACGTACTCGGGTACGTCTCGGGTGGTCTGCTAGGTGGTCTGTGCATCACTGCCACAAGGGTAATGTAAATTCTCCACACACACAACGTGGTGGGGCATGCAGGGGTGGCAACCCTCGCATCTCCACAGCGCCGGACACCTACTACATCATTGTACCCACTACACGTAGAGCCGTATACACACCCTCTGGCCTGTGCGCTGTGGGTACTTTTTAGAGCCGTGGGGTAAGGGTAATAAATACTCTGAAAAACGAACACCTCTACGCTCTACTGCGAGATGGGTAAAAAGGAACAGGTTCCCGTCCGTGCGATCTTCGTGCACAGTGCAGGGTTCTTTGTGGGTGTGGTCGGCGTAGGGGGTAATGGGGTACGGCGTAGAGGGCGACTAGGTAAGGTAAGGTAAGGTAGACTTCTCCACACACACGAGGTGGTGGGGCAAGGGGGGGCGACCCTCGCGTCTCCACGTCTAACGACAGGAGCCCCACGGCATTTAAAGTGCAAGGCCCGGTGCGCGTGGGTGAGCGGTGTGTGTGTGTGTGTGTGTGTGTGTGTCGTGTGTGTGTGTGTGTGTGTGTGTGTGTGCGTGTGTGTGTGTGTGTGTGTGTGTGTGTGTGTGTGTGTGTGTGTGTGTGTGTGTGTGTGTGTGTGTGTGTGTGTGTGTGTGTGTGTGTGTGTGTGTGTGTGTGTGTGTGTGTGTGTGTGTGTGTGTGTCACGTCACTGCATCCTCTGCCGGTTCCTCCCGCCGGGGTCGTCCTCCCGACGGGGGACTAGCACTAGCCGTCTTCCACATGCGGGTCCCTCGGGTCCCTGCTACTCTTAATCTCTTCGTACATCCTCCTGCTGATCTCCGCAAAGTCCTGCTCCCTCCCTCGTCTCGCCCTGCGCGTCTGCTCCGCCTCCCCGTCGTCTGCCCTGCGTCGTCTGGCGACGGGTCCTCCATAGTCGGTTGAGGTCGCCGCCCTCCTCGTGCCTCTTCCCACAACGTTCCCTCGGCGGCCGATGCCGTCTGCTCCGACTCCCCCGTTCCCGGGTCTGCCCTGCTCTCGCCAGCGCTAGCTTGCCTTCTGTTTCGTCATCGCCGGTCTCTCTCCCCTTCTTTCTCCTCTTGTTGTATGCTTTGTACATCGCGTCGATTCCTTTTCTCGCGAGCACCACCCTGAAGCCCGCCCAGCAGCTAAACCGCTCCCTAAGTCGAAGGAGCATCATCAGTCTCACCCACTTCGCTCGCTGCCCACTGTCTCCGCTCCCTGCCGCTTGAGCCGCCGTCGCGGCCCTCGTTCGTCCCACTGGCTGCTGGCCTGTCCGCACGTTACCTCCGTTATCCCTCCTCCTCCGTGACTCCCTCGAGGCCGGCCGGGCCTCCTTCCACCCAGCGAAGAGCTTCCTCAGCCACTCGATGTGTTCCTCTCTCTTCGTTATGCGCGCCGTAGCCTCATCATTGAGCTGGATCCACCTCTGCACCGCTCCCGTCGCCGCCTCGGCCACGACTTGCAAGTTCCTCGTGACCCCGGCGCCAAGGTCCCTCCGGCTCTTCTCCGAGAGAGGTCATCTACCAGCGCCGGCAACACCCCCCCGACTGCGGGGGCTAGCGCATCGTACCCGTCCTCATCCAGCACCCTAGCCGCGGGGACGGGTGTTTTATGCAAACCCGAAAATTAAACCGGAAAGCACTAAGCAGCGCTGGGCGGAGCATGGCTGCGAGGGAGGTTCACGCAGGTTGGTCCGTCGCCGCGATTGCGGAGTGGCGGTGCAAGCTAATTGGTGGTGGCAGGTCCGCCGGCGGTTGCTGTGGCGACTGGGATGCATGCGGCAGAGTGCCAGAGTCGCAGAGAGATTAACGGCGACCCGGCAGAGAGATGGCAGATGCGCGCCAGTTAGGGCTGGGTCGAGGACAGACACGTCCCCACCTTTTGCAGGATTTTGCAAAAGAGAGAGGGAGGGGGGGCGCCGCGCGGAGAGGGCTGTGAACAGGGCACAGGGGATCTCTCTCACATAGGATACGCGCACTATAGGCGGCACGAGCGAGGGCAAGGCTGGGCAGCCTCAAGGCTGGCTGGGCCCTGGGCCTCCTATTTGTGCTCCCCTCCGGATTCCTCGCTCCCGGGCACTAGCGCGCGTGAACAGGGCTCCAGGCCCCAAATGACGTGTGAGTGTTAGAGTTGTTTGGTATTGCTAAAAATCTCTCTCTCTCTTCATCTGACCACTCATCTGAGGGGCTTCTACGCGATCGGCCGCACAGCTCTAGGTAGGTAGGTAGAAAGGTGAAGAACAGCCAGGCTCGGACTGGACACCAACGCGGTATGGGTGGACGCTGGACAGATGATGACGACACGCACGAGCGACACACAGACACAAGCAGGCTCACAAAAGACACACAGCCAGCTGGCTGCCACACACACACCCTGAGTCGGCGTACACATAACTCAGGGCCACATCCTCCCTGTCGCCCCCCCCAGCACTCCACGGTGCCAAGGGCACAAACAAGGGCTACAAGCTCCGGATGGTGCGGCAGCTCGGGCGAAAAAATAGTTTTTCGCGCTCACACGGCCGTTTTCGCCAGGAGCTGCCCAGTTCTCTCCAGCCAGGCAGCCACGCAGTGCCCAACGTGAAGTGCCTGCAAGCTGCGCACCGTAGCAGGCAGCCTCCGCCGGAACGCTAGCGGTCTCACGCTCATGGAATGGGGCCACACGTCGCTGACGCTTGCCGTCTCGCTCTCCCTCTTTGGCTCCCTCTGCTACGTGCTGAGCCTCCTGTCGATCGCGTCCCCGCGCACCTCGTCCGAACGGCTCGAAACGGCGATGCCTTCTCCGCCTCGACGCAGGGCTGCTTCCTAGCTCTGTATGCCATCGGACAGATCGGTGCCGGCGGCAGCTCGACGGCTGCGTCCTGGTATGGCCCAGTGTCCATCACGCTGCCCGTTTACATGGGAAGCATGCAGCTGTGGACGCTGCTGCTCATGAGCGCACTGGGCATGCAGTCGTACACCAAGTCGCAACAGGTTGGCACGCTTGTGCTCGCGACGGCGACCACTCTGCTAGTTGACGCAGGGCCAGCCGCTGGCGGCGCCGTGGTCGCCGAGCAGCTGGCCAGCCCTGCTGCTCTCTTGTGGGTGCTATTCATGGGCGTGGCGTGGGCCGCTGCGGTGGCGGGGATGGCCGTCGACCGCGAGAGAGGGCAGATCCGCGCACGCCTCGACAAGATTGGCGGCGGGGCGTACGCGACGAGGGTGCAGCTGGGAGAAGGCACCCTACTGGCAGTCTACGTGGCAGCGCAGGCCACCTCGACCTCGTCGCTGACCACCCTCGGCAAACTCCTCGTCCTGGTCGACGGGGCGAGCTTGGGCCTCGTCCTGGCGCTCCTGGCGCTGACAACATGCACCAACCTCGCCTCGAGCATCGTCGCGGCCGTCAAGATTAACCAGGCCACCTTCATCCCGATGGCCTCCTGCGGCTCTCTGGTCCTCAACCAGGCGACCGGGCTCCTCCTCTGGGGCGATGGGCGCACCGTTCGTTCCTGGCTGAGCTACGCCGGAGTCCACGTCTTGATTCTGCTCGGCACCTACGAGCTTTCGAGCGCAGACTTGTGTGAGCACATCCGGCAGAGGCGGTCGCGGGCTGCGGAGACGAGCTTGTCCTAGGTCCGCCTAGCGGGTACGGGTGTGTGTGGACCTTGTGGACCGGGGTTGTAGTGCCCGGTCCTCCTGCTGATGAGGTCAAGTAGCGTGGATTTACCTCAGACCCATGGTCTCGTATATAGAGAGTGTGGAGTGTGTGCCAGCACGAGAGGAGCGGGACATGCAAGCCCCGCGTGAACCACGACTCCAGCGGGCGAGTCAACCGGGCACCTCTCGCGATCGCGCAGCTAGCGCCTCTGAGCGCGGCCGCGTGCACTGTGCCGGTACGGACACCGGGGCGCCGCTTCGACTGCCAGTTCGCGCTCCCACCCAAATACGTGCATCACTTTTGTGACAGGTCTCACTCTCAGACTGGTTTGAGCGGCCATATCTCGGTAAACATTGATGGTCCACCGGAGAACTCATCGCCATTCGAACGGGCGCCGGGCGCCCGTTCCAAATCCGAAGAGTTTTCAGGTGGTGAGGTGGACCATCAATAGTTACCGAGATATGGCCCCGCTCAAAGTCTGAAACCTGTCACAAAAGTGATGCACGTATTGGGAGCGCGACTGCTGCGCGGCCAGTATAGGGGCAGTGTGGGTGTGGGGCGGGTGCTGGGCTTCTCCTTCTGGACGCGCGGCCGCAAAGCCGACCCGACGATGCGCTGTCACAGCTGTCCCCCGCCGCGCCTCCCCAGTGGTGGGCTACGGGCCCGTACCGTGGCTCAAATTTTACTCCCATCTCGCTTTGGAAAAAGCACCTCTCTGACCGCTCTGCCTCTGCGCTCTCGTGGCGTGAGGGGTACGGACTTCCTCTTTCTTCACTGTACGGGGAGACGGATGTCGGTTCGAGGCGGCAATGGCTATGGGAGTGTGGCGAGGTGCGGGTTGGCCAGGGTGGCGGAGTCAAGAGTCCTGTGGAGGGACACGGCTCCTCGCCGAACCTCACAGTGCTCTGTTCAGGCTCCCCATGCAGGCACCGCAACATCTGCTGCAGGCGTCTCCGAAGTGGGCACAGCGTGCCCTGCCGCCGCGTTGTCAAAGAGAGGCAAGGCCGCAGCGGCGGCGGCCTCCGCCGTACCTGCGGCGGCTGTCGGCTCCGCCGCTATCGCTCCCACTGCGGGTCGCTCCGCCACAATCGGGGCTGCTTCCAGCGCTGGCGCAGCCACCGCCGACGCCAGGGGCACCGCCGCTGGCGCACCTGCTGCTAATCCAGCCGGCTCCGGAGCCGGAGCTGCCGCGGTCGTCCGACTGAGTGTGCTGACGGCGGGAGTGGAAGCGACAGCAGCGGGGGGCGTGGCATTAGCGGAAGGCGTCGCCGGAGGCACGGCCGTCGCGGCGGCGGCAGCGGCGGCAGTGGCGGCAGTCGCCGCGGCGGCAGCGGCGGCGGCAGCCTTGGACTCGGCTTGCA